AACTCCCAGAATTCCCCAGCCAGCATGGCTGGCTGGGGAATTCTGGGAGTTGAAGTCCACCCATCTTCAAGCGGCCAAGGTTGAGAAACTCTGCATTAAACTAAGCTGTTAAGAGGAACCACTTAGCAACTGTTTACTTCTCTTTGTGGCAACTTTCAGCACCAATTAAGAATCAAATTAATATGTTTGGCATTAGGAAACTTTGTGAGCAACATTTTTTCATCCTGGAGCTATATCAAGCTAAAGCTGGTGGCTGACGCTGTTATCTTATGAACCGTTCTATCTAACCACAGATCAAAAAGCACACGAATTACATCTCACCAGGGAAAGGGATCTAAAAACTCCTGAATATCACCCACATCACAGAAATTATATCAGTGGTCTGCATCTGAAATATGCCAATTTGTTGTGCTTTGTATTTCTTAATCATATTTTCTCCAAGTATCCCACTACTCTGGAGGAATTGCAGATGCTTAATCTGGCTAGATCTGACTTCCACCACCTTGGAGAGACACAATATCTCTTCCCTTTTACATTTTAAGCACAACTTCATGATTGTACTCAGAAATTGCTGACGACAGGAAATGGCTACCTATAAAATCCTGTCATTTCATCGACATGCATATGAAAATACTTAGCATTCAGAAGGGGCTTTTCAAACGGTCACATCACTTCACAGAAATTGCCTCGGCAATCTTTAGAACAATCCTGCAAAACTGATCAGTAATCATACTGTTGTAATGTGGAGGGCAGGGGGAGGCACCAAGTATGGGAAATTGGCCAGGTATATATTGGCCAGGACCAAATTTACTGCCAAATAAATAGGATGAAAGCCCTATGGCAGACAATTTGAGACATCACTATCCACCCTTGGAATTTGCCGATTTTTTTAAAAAAAGAGTATTTGCATTAAAGTTGTCAAGGGGGCAGGAAGCTCCACAGGACTGCAAGCTGGTTCTCCTGATACAGTTAATAACTATATTATATTGGGTCTCAAAGTCTACAGACTTTCACATTAGCAGTGATACAGTATTTCCTCTACAAATGAGCAATCTGATTGAGATCTCCTAGGTGAGAACTGAATTGGAATGGCAGAACTGATCCACCAAAAGCAGTGTTTCTCAGCCTTGGCAGCTTGAAGATGTGTGGACTTCAAGTCCCAGAATTTCCCCCGCCAACCCCCCTCCCCGGGGGGATTGTGGGGGTGGGATTCGCACCAACTTCAAGCTCCGAGGGCTTGGTGAAAAACACACAAAAAAAAAAAAA